TATATAAATTGGATCTGAAGTGCACAATGGTCAAAAAAAAAAACATGCAATTTAAAGCATATTATTCAACATCTGCTTTAATCTTCATCTTTAAACATTTGATCATTTTTAATTCTATTGCTTGCGTTTTGTTAAATTGCCATATAATAACTTTACGATGTGTTGCATTTCAGACACATTAAAAACAGGAATTTTTACAGTCAAAAAAATAATAATTGTTTATCATGTACTGACCAACCCCAAATCTAATTGTTGTTCCTTTACTTTAGTTATCTTACGGTGTAAGCAAGTGTAATGAAGTTTAGAAGAAAAGTACATTTCAAGTGCATTAATGCACACAGTATATAACAGATATATGCTGTGCTTCAATATATACATCATGAAAGTGTCTTAAGTGGCCTTTCATTTGAGTAATATTATATGATCTGCAAGTACACGGGTTAAAAAGTGTACTTTTGAGATTTGAAGCACACGTCTCTTGCCTTCAGGTTCGACAGAAGCACTTTCTTCATGAGTCTGTGTGTTTTAGGACTGACTGAAAATTAGAAACCCGATCGCCTGGAACTGAAGAGCTGGGTTACAGGAGCACAACAGAGATGACCTGCAGGCCTCGTGCCGTGAGAGAAACCAAACCAGTCGCTCAGAGCGAGCAAACGTGTGATTCAGAGACGCTTGCCTTGTCCAAATACCCACACCTGCGCTCTTGGCCACCTATGTCTATTCCAGGCTCAGAGTATCCCATCATGCATCAAGTTTTGGAATAAATTATGAGTAGTGGTGATATTTTTGGGGGGCATTTGCAACTGCTTTTCATCACTTAATTAGACGCACCACATATTAAACTGAGTCATGTTATAGAGACTACCGAACAGACATTTAGAAGTTGATTTTAAAATAAAATTTGGACAAGAGGTCTCTGTACACAGGAGAGTCCTGAAGGAGGAACCGTCAGCCAATCACAGAGCACCACATCGTCCTGGGTCAGTCCTGGAGAACTTACTGTAAACTCATCACATGCATCTGAATGAAAGATGAAGCAACAGCACGAGCTCAAGCTCTTCAGTCACAACCACAGAGTGTTCTGTCTTCTCACACTGACCTGCTGCAGCGCGTCTGCGCTCTTCTGGACGCACTGCTCGTGTCTGGAGCTGGTGTGCTTGATCTCGGACAGCTCCTGATAGAAGCACACGGACGCGATCACGGTCCCAGCCACGAAGCCCAGGTAACTCAGCGCGGACAGCAGCTTCAGCAGCGAGCCCGACGCGTTGCTCTGCGCTCTCTGCGGGCTGCTGGCGGGCGGCTTCTCGCTGTTGTTCGGCTGCGAGCTGTTCTTGTTTCTGTTCTTCGCGGCCATCGTTCCTGCGTTCCGATGCTTACTGCTCAGCGAGCGGCGCGTTGCGTTCGCGTTGTGTCCGTGGGACAGACGCGCGCGGCTCTGATTGCTTTATTCACAGGAACTTCTAGAAGAACGACTTCAGTTCCTCACAAACTCGCACACTGGCAGTTCAGAGTCCCTAAAACGAACGAAAGTGGCTTTTGCTGAAGTTTGAACGCGTTTAGGAGTCGATACAGCGCAGAACTGACGCGGGGGCGGAGTCGAGTGTGAAGATGAAGGGCGTCGCGTCGCGTCGCGTTCTCGCTCGCTCCGCCCTTCTTCAGACGTGGCACTGATTCTCCTCAAACATCCATCCCAGTGTTCAGTTTGACACAGTGAGCACGTTTGCATGCACACCAGTAAGCTGACAACTCAATATCAGCTTATTAAAATAACCATGCACATCAGTAACCTGACAACACAAGTAAGCTGCGTTTACATGACTTGATTAATAAATCAGGTTATTTCCCTGTAGTGACGTCAAAATATACTCATTTGCATATCTGACTCCGAGCATTCCATACATGTGTCAGTGTGATGTTAAATTAAGCTTGCAACATGTCAGCGGGAAGCTTACAGCTCATATATTATCCTCTCATGCAGTTATAAACGCAGCACTCCGCTTAGCTATATGAATAAAAAGCTGTCACTTCTGAATCTCTAAGCTGCCCGATTAATCTCTTATTCACATCATCCTACTTACATCTTATTTGCACCTTGTTTGTTATAACGAGAGATATCCGTGCAGAACTCAGCCTTGAACAAATCTCTGGCGTTTTCAGCAGTGTTGCCAAACCCCTACCTCAGAAAATCTCTAGAATCACCCTCAAAAGTCTCAATTTAAGTCAAATTGAATAAGTCGCCAAATATGAAAACAAAGTAAATACAGGTAAATTTGGTA